TTTGTCAACCACTTGGAGATGTCCGTCACGTACAATGTGTTGGAGCGCTAGCCAATAGAAGCGCGATTGTTACGTAATGAGGTCATTATGTTAAGGACGCAAACAGAGGACTGCAATCGAGGCGTTTTCCTTATAACATACTACAGAAAAAGAGAAGTAAAAGTATTCAGTGTTTTCTCATATGTGACCCAATTGGTAGAAAATGTGTTTTTCTATGAGTAAAAACACATTTTGGTCAAGCGCCTACTGTAGTATGACGAACATAAAGAATTGTGGCAATAGATGTGGTGTGTCTGAATACTCTGAGTCATTAACATTGCATTTTCTTTTAAAGCCAGAGTCCAGACAGAGTGCGTGAGTGTGAAGAATAGAGCACTGAGGAAGATGATGTGTTCAACCAATGCATACAAGTGCTTTCCTCTCCTTAGGCAGAGTAGTCCCTCCAGTGTCAGGATAGAGATGCAATAGTTAGGGTGTGTGCTAGTGTGCGTCTGTGTGTACATACTACAGAGAGGAATGACTAAGCATCGCTGCATGTGTGTCCTTACTTGTAACTATGTGTGTTGGCTTGTCATGTTCTCCTCCTCCACTGCTTCGCTTCCTTTGCCCCTCACTGACTCCATTCAAAGTGTGGGAAGTCAAAGCAGCCTCTGCATAGCTGAGATGCCTTACCTGTGCACAGCTATGGCACGTGCAGGGCTGGGGATTATGCTTTTCTTCAGGGTTTGATACTGAGACACTGCAGCAGGTGTTTTTAGTTATTGTCTGAGGAGAGAAGCTTTGTCAAGGGAAGACAGCAGAACTCATTTCAGATGTATTTAACATTGGTTAATGACACAGTTAATCTGCAGTAGTTCAAGTGGTAGTTCCATTATTATATCATAATGCCTTTCATCAAAGTTGAGGGACTCACAATGGATAGATGAAAAAAGAGGTCAAAGCAGCAGAGGCTGAGATATGCAGACTCTGTAGTATGGGTGAAGCTCTTCTAACAAGCATCAGGATTTGTTCATATCCACTCTTCCTGGTCAAATCAAGATATTTTAAATAACATGTTAATAAAATAACAAATCACCAGTTTATATCACTGACTTCAACACACCTTTTTTTGAGTTGCTAAGCCCTGGGAACAGAACACTTGTTCAATAGGTGTAGCAACTAGATAAGGGGGTGGGGCTTGGTCAATTCTCCTCCGTTTATATACATTTCACTAATTAGCCAAGTACTAGTGGAACATGTGGTAGAGTACACAGGAATACGTTCTTCATGGCTGTATTGATTTCTTGGAAATTGGTCCATAGATGGTAAACAACATTCTACTATCTCTGTCTGCAGCACACCTCAGTTGTGCTTTATGTATGTACAGAGCTCAAAGTAATAACAAGTGAAGTCATATACGCACTATATAGACAAACGCACACAACAGCAGACAATAAATAACCTTTCAGCTTCCTAAATGAATAGTCTGTGCAGCCATTAGCCTGGCAACTTTGTCAGTGGTTCATGCGGAGTTGTCCGGTGGCTTCCTGTTGTAGCCATTGGCTATAATGACTGCCCACAGGCACCCATTGTTGCTACCCAGCTGGGATCGTTGCATTGGTTTTATTGATAACCACTGATGGTGCTCAGGTGGTCCCTTCATTAATAAAGGTCATACCGTTATGCATGCTATAAAAAGCTTGGTGTGATTTATAATTAAGAAGCTACATTCATAAATAATAAGATTAGAATCATTTACATTTGACTTCAATTACAAACATGCATAGAATATCAATTTAAAGTGTGCATTATTCAATTAAGTCAAACAAAAAGGAAAAGAGGAAGTATAGACACGCATGCAAAATGATTATCTACTTTAGTGCGTCAAACTTATCGCAGTCATGACCATTTTTCGTACAAGGGTGGAAAGCTGGCATGACCATTTATTGTACAGAAAGTCGATAATGTCAAACTTATCGCATTTATTTCCATTTGTCGTACGATACATTGATAACATCATTATTGGGACAGGTCTACTTGCAAATGGAGTTCACTTTTTCTAATGTATATGTTCCGAGTCTATTCGAGTCTCTGTGTTCCCCTCATCATTTACTGGTCTTATTATTTCTATATTGACATTGTTGTGATGTTTTGATTTGATGCGTTTTAGTTAAGATGGAAGTTGAAGCCAGTTTCCGTAGTGGCCAAAAAGTTGTACTACATTTATGTGTCAGTCCCTAACCCAAAAGACTTCCCGTTGACTTACATTGGGAAAGAGAAGTCTGTCAATCAGCAGATCATTTTCTTTTTGAGTTAAATCAACTACCCAGTGCAAACAGGCTTTAAAAAGCCTTAAATCATTATGGCATCAGATTTGTAAAGACTTATTTTCCCTTTTTTATTTCTTTGACTGAGCCATCCAAGATATTATTCGTAGTGTCACTGAGACAAATGGACTAGTGTTATTCTCGTTCCCTGTGTGTAAATAGAGGAAGCTAAATCAGGTCATTTGTACCGAACAAGGAACAGTGTGTGTTTTACATTGTGTCTTGCCTATAGGCCTTTGCAGCCAATTAGACCAGAGAGATAGAGAGCTTAGCTTCTGTGCTCTAATGAGCCATTATGTAGCTATGGCTTTTCTGTGTACAGTGCTACCATTCATTAGTGCTCAGGCATCATTACTAACCAGAGACAAACCTTATGCATGCGTGTCAATGAACACATGCATCTGTATTCTTACATATGCTGTTTCCATGTGTGATCGGGCTGACACATGTTATGGTCAGGAAGCTGAGTACAGAATGTGTGTGTGAGTGGCCCTGAGGGTCTGTCCCATCCTCTTCGCTCAAATATAACTCTTTTGTCAGGTCTGGCCTTTCATACGCTAGAGATGGAGGGTTTTTCTTAGATGAAAAGAAGTCTAGAAAGAGTGAAATGAGATGGGGAGTTCACCTTCTTCTATGCGTGACTGCACTGCAAGAACAACCTCTGTGTCAGCGATAGAGGAAACGTGTGTGTGCTTTGAAACATCCACCTGTTCGCCCTTTTTGCATAATGCTCCTCTTTATGGCTGTGTTTATGTGCATGGCGAGGCGAAGGCATGTGGAAGGTTTGAACAGGAACATGTCTCGGATGACGTATTTGAGCATTTTGACCCGTTTATGGAGATATTGTTGCTCTATTTGTTTCTCATGGGGAGTTGGCCGGGCAGAGATATAGTAAGTGTGTATACACTAGACTCGTGCCCCATGGGAACTGAAAGGAGAGACCGCCACTCTTTTCCCGGGACAGGTGATCCTTTGTTTTGGTTTAGGGATGGAGAGGGGCGTAGCTGTCAGAACCTGAGAGCTGGAACCCTTATCAGCTACCTGAATGGATATTCCCAGATTACTCACACACATTCACACTCATAGGGAGAGGCACACAGAGGGGACAAGTATTCACATTTATTTATAGAGCACTTTCATCCAAAAACAGACTTTATCAAATGCTGTCAAAACAACACAAAGAGAGTACTATGACAAAGGTGAAAACAGTTGAAGACAAACATTTTAAAAATAACACCAGAAGTGGATAAACTTGAGTTTGATGAGCTTGGGCCGGGCACAAATAGAAAGAAAGATGTTAATGTTTAGCTGCCTGTATTATGCTGGTTAACTATTAGGGAGCCAAGGTCTACTTTTCCCGTCCTTACCTGGCCAGCCTGGGCTTTGTTTCCAGATCAGCCATGTTGGGTTAAAGTCTATAGCAACTTGACAGTGATTGAACACACTTCACGATGTACATAAAAAGGGCAGGGTTTCGAGGCATCCCGGTGACTCATGCAGCGAGAATGTGATGTCAAACCCTCTCCGATCTGACGACATGACGGACATTTTTGAAAGAGCCAGTTGGGGAAACATTCAAATGTGCTTTTATAAATGAGAATTAGATGATGAAATCAATACCACTCTTTAATCTGTCTGATCATTATGAAGCTACTGCCAGGAGATGCTTAGCTTAATTGAGCCAAATGTAGCTAGTCCAAAGTAGGGCTGAGACCTAGATTTGAGTTTAATCGTCTTTTCCAAAATGCATTACAGTTAGATAATGTCATTTTCTTAAAGGTAGGGTAGGTAAGTTTGAGAAACCGGCTCGAGATACACTTTTTGTTATATTCCATGGAATGCTCTTAACATCCCGATAGCAATGAATATCTTCATCTGTGGAAGCCGTAATACTGTAAAAAGTACGACCAATCATTTTAGCCGGCCCGGCTAAAATAACTGGATGGCCTACCTGCCTGTCAGCCTTCCATCTGTGCACAAACTTATCTCGTGCCCTCATTGGTCATGTGCACGTTCGTGTGTGTTGGAGGAGGGGCTCTGTAAGGAAGTGGCAGATTTTTTCCGGCTGTGTATTTTCAAATTCTAGCGCACTCGACATATTTGCCTTAACCCACTTGGGCAACACATCAACATGACTGAATATTATTTATGAAATATCTGATTGTGTGAATATTTTTGGTCATGGTCAACCCTACAATGTCATCACAATATCGATACTGTGGTATTTGGTCGAAAATATTGTGATATTTAATTCATATCGCCCAGCATTAGTCCAAATGTAACAGATCTGCGTCCCAGCACCTCTTCAGCCCTCACTATCATGTTACCATATGTTAGTTATTTGTCAAAGTGCAGATGAAGTAACTGTTTTTGGCTGCTGTGGCATTTTGCATCAGTAGGACCTGGGGGGGGGGGTTTGGGGATGAACGCTGTGTGTGTGTTCTGCACAGACGCCCTGCAGGGATGCCTCAGGCTGAGAGCTGCTCCAGCACAAGAATGATTCCTTTTCCCCTGAAAACACATGATGCAACAGAGTGTCAGCCTGAATAAAGTCTAGATGTGTAATTAGCCTAGCCCGACGCTAATGGAATTTTAACCAGCTTTTGTTAATTCATATCCTCTTTGTTTCTCTTCTCTTTCTGCCACCTTTCTCTTCTTCCTCTTTCTCTTCTTCCTCTATCTTTTATTCCGCAGAGGAAGCTGATTACACGTTTGGCACTAACTCGCTGACGAGGAAGAAGAACACGGTGCTTTCGGCGGTTCTTCTGCGGCCTGACACCAACAGGAAAAAGCCCCCGGTGATCATCAGCCTTCCGAGGGACTTCCGCCCCGTCTCCTCCATCATCGATGTGGACATCCTCCCCGAGACGCACCGACGCGTTCGCCTGTACAAGCACGGCCAGGAGAAACCGCTGGGCTTCTACATCCGGGACGGCTCCAGCGTGCGGGTCACTCCGCAGGGCCTGGAGAAGGTTCCGGGGATCTTTATCTCCCGCATGGTTCCCGGCGGGCTGGCGGAGAGCACCGGCCTGCTGGCGGTCAACGACGAGGTGCTTGAGGTGAACGGTATCGAGGTGGCTGGGAAGTCTTTGGACCAGGTGACGGACATGATGATCGCCAACAGTCACAACCTCATCATCACCGTGAAGCCTGCCAACCAGCGGAACAATGTGGTCCGCAGTGGAGGGGGGGGGGGAGCGTCCGGCAGCTCGGGCCGCTCGTCGGACAGCGGCGCCAGCTACTACGGCTACTCGTCGCACGGCGCCGCGGCCTCCATGCCGTCGCACATCATACAGAACTTCCCCGCGGGGGAGCTGGAGAGCGACGAGGACGACGAGGACTTGGTGATCGAGGCAGGAGGCGAGGCGGAGCCCATCAGACGCGCCTCCTCCACCTACAGCATGCCCTCCATGCCCCGCTACGAGCCGCACCTCAACCTCCGCATGGCCGCCGCCTCCACCTCCGCCCTCTCCGTCAACACCAACGGAACCCTGCCAGCCAGCGGCAGCAGCGGGTCGCTTAGCAACGCCATCGCCACGTCCACCACGCCGTCCCCAGACAGAGGAATGGAGAGGCGGAGTCTGGAGGAGGACGGCACTGTGATAACTCTGTAGGCTGGGCGCTCACACACTAAACACTGGAAACAGAGACAAACACCCACATGCTCTCAGAGCTGGGGTCAGATTATCTACAGGAACATCCTGCAGCATCACGCAGCGACTGAACCTGAGAAGCACAACGTGTACATATGAAATCTCAACATGACACAACTACATGTCTACAGCAGGGTTATGGCCACATGTGAAAAGATAGAATACTGACATTAATAATATGCAACTTAAATACATTTTTAAAAAACATTCTGAAACTAAACTCTTTCTTTTTAGAATTCTGACTTAATTCTCAAAATACTGACTCAAGAGTTTGAACTTAGATATATTTAGAAAATCTATTCTGACTTAAACTCAGACTTTTTCTCTCAGAATCCAGACTTTATTTAGGAAAGACATGCTCTATTAAAATACATTCTGACTTATTTGTTAGTTTTCTGAGTTTTTTCTCACAATTCTGACTTTGTTTGTTTTAAATACTTTTAATTCTAAGAATTGTAAATGTATTCAAGTTAGATCTCAATAGATATAAAAACATTATTTTAAAGATAAACTCTGACATAAAACTGAAATACTTTTTCACATGTGTCCCTAATCCTCTTCCGTACTGTCAAACACTGCACTCCATACTTTTCTGCTCTACATGCCAATGTCCATGCATGTGTGCCATAATGGTGACCCCCCCTAACCCAGTTGTGCAGGGACAAAACTTTCAGACAAAGAAGTGTAGAAGAAGTGTAATTTGATGCCCGCCCCTCTCCCCCACCATCCCCCTCTCCCCCACCATCCCCCTCTCCCCCCTCCACTTCATATCTAACCCATGACAAGCACCTGTTGTTACCCTGATCTTCCATAAGAGGGCAGAGACGAGACATCATCGGACCATGAATACTTGACGGTAGAAATCATGTTAGCAAGTGAATCCCCCCCCCCCCCCCATAACAAACACACTGAAGCAGGTTTTTAGCTTTTAGCATTTGCTGACAATCTATTGGTGGTAATGTGTTTGCCCCCCCCCCCCAGGTGACCACAGCATGCGATTGGTAAACAGTGTTGGTACATTTCCACACAACAATCGACCAAGTGCTGAGATCTGCAATAATACTGTGTCTTTTACTGGAGGAGAGACCACCTAAAAACAAGTCTGGGTTCTGTGTTAGCTCAGAGGCTCTTTTTAAACCACTGTTTTCTCTTTTTACCTGCTGTGTTAATTGATGAGTGATAATGAAAGGTTGATGATTTTGATAATTCTTGGGAGCAACTTTTGTTTTGAAAATCCCTTTACCATCAGGCCTGTGATTTATATCATGTGAATATGTTGTGTCTGTTTCTTCTTTTGTTTTTACACAATACTTGTACCTCACAAGTGACTGTAGGACCAGATGTATCCGACCAGCTGGAAGTCGCAAGTCACTCCAGTAGAATTCATTTCCCATTTCTTCATATTGCACTCCCTCTCCTTTCCCACGACAAGGGCTATTTCCCCGGCTGCGTGTGTACAAATGAAATAATGTGAATGTGATTTACTATTCTAGTTTGTCTCCATTCTCTCTGGACCACAACTCAATATATCTTCCCTCAGTGCTGAACAATATATTCATCTCTGCTGCTCACTTGTCCCGTGACATTCACATACGAAAGGGTTCTGTCCAATATTAATGTCCCGCTTACTTTTTGTGTCTTTTATTCTCATTGAATTCAATAGTGACACACTCACAGAGAATGTTACCCAACAGCTGTGTTCAGAATGCTAAATATTGACCTGATCAATACTGATGTACTGTAACACTATAAGCAAATCCAACCATAAGTGAGTTTAAGTGAGTGATAGATAACGTGTCAAGAGAGAAGCCGCTTGTACCTGGTCAGATTGAGTCATATTTAAACAAGCACACATGCAGGTAGGCTAGGCCCAGACTGGTTCTCAGGCTGTGTTTGATAAAGGTGAGGCAGGCTGTCTTACGTGCATTGCTCTGATCTGCTTTGACTATTTCCATCCAAGTTGAGGCTCTTCTTAAATAGTCCCAAACAATGCTCCAATGGTCGTCCTCTCGGCAAACACTTTATTGACAGAATACATTTTAAGCATTTTTTTCTTTTTCTTTAAAGCAGCACTATGGAAAAAAACGTTAAGCCCTTTGAAGCTCATTTTAATTTCCGGCTGAATAAATGAGGGCTGTTCCAATAAATTGGAAGTTTCAAAGCTACATTTGAATTCTATATCAGTTTTTTCAACTTCAGTTACAAACTTAACAAATACAATTGTCTTGTCTTACAGAGTTATTCTGAATTCACCAACAAATGTTCATAGTGCAGCTTTAAATTGAATTGTTGGCTGATATAACCCCTTAGAAATGTGTTCTCATGCCATGAAACATTTCCCACAGAAAGAAGGGATTCTGACACAGTTTTCAGCTCTTGAAGCAGATCCATAACATTTATAAGAAGTACGTTTATGCCCATTAACATTACACGCTGCTGCTAACTGCCTTCCTGAAGAGAGAGCAGATGGTCTATTATTTCCCTTATTGATTTTTTCTTGCATTCACTATCTTGTTAAAAGTCATATCATTGACTTCCGCATGGATTTTATCTTGCTAAAACATGAACTGGACACACAGATACACTCAGTAATGTGTATTGGCTTCAACTGAACCCCTGTGCACTTGTCTTGGAGCACATTCAGTAGTTATTTGTATTGCTTGAATATATCATGACGGTGAAAACCTATGACTGGAAACAGCCACTATTGTATTTCGTTATATATGTATAAGCTACTTTCATTTCTTTCATGGTACACACAGTTCTGATGGTCTTCTTTCATTCCCAACATTAATGAATGGTACTCTGAATGACACTTTTAGAAATCAATGTTAATTTATTTTCTTAATTTCTAACCTTTACCACAGGACACTGGGATTGTAACCACAGCGACGTTGTTATTTATTCTCTAATCATGCGTCTGCATATTTTCTTTCTTTGTACACATTTTATGACTTTATTTTTATAACTGATGTTTATTCGTGATTGTTTTGCTCGTAAATCTCATAGATGTTATTGCCCGATAGATGATTTCAGTAGGTGATTTTACCGGCATAAAGCACGTGTGCAAGACGTGGCACTATTTCTTTTTTCATACTGTGAATTATCATTAGCACAACCCTCAAAACAGGCTACTTGTTTTGCTTTTGAGTCCTTTTTTTTTTTTTAATGATTGAGCAATGATTTTTTTGCTTGCCAGATAAATCCTATGGTATAGATTTGTAATGAAGATTGTCAGTATTTTCATATCGATGCTATACTGTATATATGATGTACATTTTTATCACATTTAATGAAAATATTTTAAGATTCAACTGGAGATGTATGAATTAATAAATGTACACTTGTAATTGCTGATTGGAGGAGCTGGATGAAATAAAACTAATGTGTAGCACTTTGTGTCTGTTGTCAATGTATCGAAACACTTGTTTTGACCATAACGATTATAAAACTGAAGCACATTTAAAGGTAGGGTAGGTAAGAATGGAGAAACCAGCTAGAATTTGAAAGTACGCAGCCGAAAAAAATCTGCCCCTTCCTTCAGACTTCCTTACAGAGCCCCTCCTCCAACACACACGAACGCGCACATGACCAATGAGGGCACGAGATAAGTTTGTGCTCGAGATGGAAGGCTGACAGGCAGGTTGGCCATCCAGTTATTTTAGCCGGGCTAATTGCTTTATTGTCAAAGCATTTCATATATTCATTGCTATCGGGATGTTAAGAGCATTCCATGGAATATAACAAAAAGTGTTTCTGAAGTGAATTACATACCCCACCTTTAAGAAAGATACAAAGCATTTCAGTTTTTTGTTCTTTTTCTCATGGCAAATATGTTGATGCACACGTTGATCAGAAATTAAAATAAAAGCGCTATTTGCATTTTATATTTATATTAATTCTCTATTCAAATGGCAAGTCATTTTGGCATCGGCTGTTCGATGTGCATGCGTAACATTTATGTATAGTACATTTAACAGATATTTTTCATGTACCTTCATAGTGGTGTTTTGGCGCCATCTGCAGGACATTTCAGGAATAGCGTATTTTCTTTTCATTGGGAGCGCTTCATTTATCCCAGCGGTAATAGCGGCGAACTGTTGCTCAACTCGCCATAACGCGGGCTCGTTCAAAGCTCCTCCACTGTCTGTAATGTTACCCGGACACGATTACAATCTCGACGATGTATAGATAGCTTGAGTTAAGTGTGAGACTTTCGCCCCCATATGGGAGGGTACCCGCTCCTCAGGGGGCTGTTGTCAAAACCCAGACAGCTGAGAGTCACGTGACATGACGTGTAACCAGCATGGCGGCGCTGAGCTGAGGTAGCGACTCGACTGGACTGACACCGATAGCCTGGCTTTCGTTAGCTTCCCCTTGTCACCTGCTTACTCGCAGGGCCAGGCCGAGAATGACGGCCTGAGAGAGAAGCGGCAACACGAGCGAGAGATGCAGCAACAACACCAGCGGGCCCCACAGCAGCACAACTCACACTCAAAGGCAGAAAACAGCAAAACTAAGAGCATGTTTCTGTCCAGGGCGCTAGAAAAAATCCTCTCGGATAAGGAGGTGAAGAGGAGTCAGAACAGCCAGCTGCGTAAAGCCTGTCAGGTGGCTCTTGGTGAGTGTGTTTGTTTTGTGTACTGATTGGTGTTTTTATGTTGTGCTTCATTGAAACATTTCGGCCGCGTCTTGCTCGTTTGATAGACAGCGGTGAGCTAATGTTAGCGTTAGCATGGCCTTCACCGTCTGTTAGGATGTCCGTTGACGTTTACAGGTGTGCTCATAGTGTGTTGACATCACTTTCACATCTTTCTGGTAATTCTGCAGTGCTAACACCCTGCATTTACACCACCGTCACCGCTGTCAACGGTGGCAGGTAAACAAGCTAGTTGTCGTTAGCTAGTTTGGGCTAGGTTAGCTAGCTAAACAGACCAATCCCTGTGTTGTACGTAGCACTGTCAGCCAGCCAGACAGCCCGGTCCTCACACGCACACACACACACACACACACACACACACACACACACACACACACACACACACACACACACACACACACACACACACACACACACACACACACACACACACACACACACGGCAGGCCACCTAACTCCAGGATACTCTGACGCCCGTGCTTTTCCATTCAACTGAATCCAAGATAGTGTTACACATCAGGCTCCTCACTTAATTCATTGTCACATACTGCTTTTATATTTCAGTGTAAGCTGCCCGGCCCTTTGTGTGCAGCTCCCTGTCATATATATTTTTATGAGATAACTGAAAACTATCTTGTTGGTGTAGAGGCTTTGAAAACGTATGATTCTATCAGATACATTTAGTTGGTATTTGAAGTGTTTAGGGAGACTCATTATTCATGATCCCAGTAGAACACAACACTCCTTTTCCACTCCTCACACTACCAACGTGGGCTGTTTTGTGTGTCTCCCCATGTATTTACATACTGACTGTCTGATGTTAAGGTTAACCCGTTGCAGGTTCATAAACATCTCCTTATGCTCAATGCTCTTCCATTCTAATATAAGTAGTGATACTGTTTAACGGCAGGCCATGGCATCTGTTGCTTCCGTGATGAAATAGACGTACTGTGGGAAAAGGGATTAGTTGCTAATGGTTGCTTTTAGGTGAAATGTCAGAGCTTATTCATGCAGTAGTTAAGTACACAGAAAGTTCCTCCCAAATAGGATTCAAGGCTTTTTTTTCATAGTT